CATGGAACCAGGGTGTCCTCATCGGCCGTGCCCTCATCGGCTATGCCCTCGTCGGCCAGACCCTCGTCGGCCACGGAGGTCTCGCAGAACTAGATTTTACACTTATTCATTTATATATCCCATCATTTACTTTGTATTCGGCCCAATAGCGGTCCAGTTGTAAATGGGCCTCCCAAGCCCAAGACTTGGGAGCCCAGCCGGTATTTTTCCTATTAATACTTCCTCTGGAGGTAGTTATGGGGGTTACAAAATCATTCTATTGAAGCATTTACTTGCACTTCTCTCTCTAGCTCTCACTTCTCTCTAGATATATACTCTATCAGTCTCAACTCATGGAGTAAGTTGATGAAAAAGAACTATGGAAACCAAATGAAGAGAAACAGAAGAATTAATTCATTAATTCATCACATAGTAATCAGTTTGGGCTCACAAGTCACGACATTCCAAAAACAATATTCAGATATCTCGAGAGATTTTTTTCAAAATCAGACATCTTAAGAACTGTGTAGTTAGACACTTTTGATTATTATGGCATTTGAGTATGCATTACAAATTAATTAAGCTTATTAATGACTATCGAATAATATAACTATCATGGATAATAAGCTTGAATGGGGATAATAAGCTTAGGTGAAGAGTATGGAGCAGAGAGCTTAGCTGAATAAATTGTTTTTACTTTCACATTTCACTCTTCTAAAATTCATGTTAACCAATTTCAATATATTAACAACTGAGAAAAAATAATTCATTTCTAGTCTCAACTAAAACTATTCAATGACAGTCAATAGTTTAATATAGGCACTCCCTTTTGCTGTAATCTTCTCCTCTTGTGCCCTTCCTCATCCTTTAATAATTTCCATTTCTTTTTTTGTTCTTTCAGATTAATTCTACCCTTTGTTTATGAAAAACTTACTTCATCCTTCTCTATCTAAACTTTCTCATTTGAATCACGTGCATTTTAAAGAATGATGTTTCAGAATGTTGTTTCATAACTAATGAAAAAATTACTCCATCCTTCCCTATCTAATCTTCTCAAAAATTGTCAGATATTAAAAAAACAAAGCTCAATTGGCCTTGAAGAAGATGTTAAGACTCGGGGTTCCATCCTAAAAGATCAACCTATTAGGAGGAGTAGCCTAAAGCTTAATATAGCACTCTAATGCTTCTCAATTTTCCGGTGTGGGACATTTAACACCCCTCCTCACGACCAGACACTTCGTCTGGATCGTGTCGTCATTCATTTTTTCATCGGTTCGTCAATTTTTTTATCATGTCGTCATTTTTCATAAGGGGTCCACATCATGGATCGATTTTGCTCTGATACCATGTTAAGACTCGGGGTCCACATCATGGATCGATTTTGCTCTGATACCATGTTAAGACTCGGGGTTCCATCAATTTTTTTTATCATGTCGTCATTTTTTATAAGGGGTCCACATCATGGATCGATTTTGCTCTGATACCATGTTAGCCTGAAGCTTAATATAGCACTCTAATGCTTCTCAATTTTCCCGTGTGAGACATTTAACAGAAGAGGCGGAGAAATAAAAAAGCTCATTTCCTCTTCAGATTCCAATCACATTCGAAATTTAAACAACAAAAAGTGAAAATTCCATTTGATTAAAGAGCTTACCTTGAAGTCGTTGACAGATGACGAGCCAACCGAAGATTTGGGAGATTCCGTATTGTTGAGGTGAAACCCCTAGCAGCGATTCCCTAACTAGAGAAGCTGGAGCATGGTTGACATGTGAAGAAGGAAGATGGTCTTCAGTAAACCAAGGAGTTGTAGCGTGTTGGAGAAGCGGTTGTTTGGCGAAGCTTTGCAGCGACTGTAATAGCTACGGAAGTGGACATATGTTCTTCAAATGGCAGCGGTTTGGCGGAGATGTAAAGAGGGTAAGCGCAGGAAGGTCGGCGGAAGAAGCTTAGGTGCAGTTAAGGCGAGAAATCACAGAAGGACGGGGAGGAAGGCGAGATATGTTTGGGTTTTAGTTTTTTAAAAAATGGTTAGGTAAACACCTTTTTTTTGTGTTTGAACCGATTATTCTGCTTGTGCTTCTTTTTTAAAAGCAAAAGCAGAATCAGTTTTCCACTTTCACCCAACACTCCAACTTCTGCTTCTGCTCCCCAAAAGAGTAAAAGCAGTTTTAAGAATCAAATCCAAACATCCCTTATACCAGCCTAGTTGATATCTATTAAGTATTAACATATACGTATAAAAAAAGAGTATTCATTTTCCTTACTGAATATCTATTAGAAAACAGGTCCTAAATCTTAATAGTTGGTCGTTCTTCCGTTGCATTCTTTAAAGGGGTATTTGCAAATGTTTTTTTTATTTTGTTTTTGTGTATTTGCAAATGTTTTAAAAAACACTTTTTCTGTTTTTAACTTTCAAAAAGCTGAAAGTGGTGTTTCAATTCAAGCTTTTGCTTAAATTCAAGTCCTTTTAAGCCAAAAGTTAAAAGTTGGGCATGTCATGCTTTTATGTGCTCCTTGATTTTTTTTTAAATAATTTAAACTTTTAGACTAACAGCTGAAAGTTAGGATAGTTAGACTAACAGCAACCTTGGAGTGAATAAGCCATATTTGAGCTTTTGACCCCAAAAACTACTCCAATCCAATGTATAAGAGGGTGTCAAAGTGAATATATATGGTACTTTGGGAGTGGGAATTAGATACTTATTCACTGAAGAGAGAGGGTAAGGAAGGTTGTGTGCGCGGGAGAAAAACAGACATCATGCGTACGAAAATATGTGGGCCTAAGAAAAATAAAAAAAACCATTTCCTTTGTAGAGTAATACTTTTTTATTTGAATTTAAATTTTTACAAAAAATATATCATATTTCATACTTTTTTATGATCTTTCATATGACATCAATATCAAATATATAAAGTAAAAATTAAAGGCCAACATTTAAAGGCTTGCTAAAATTAAAAAAAAAATTGTAAAAAATATTATTTTGTAAATTTTTTTTTTTGCATCGAAATGTTTGACTTTTTAAATCATAAATATTTGTAAAAAAATGTGTCATATAATTGATGTGTGATAATAAAAGTAAGGATTTATACATTTATTTAAAAAAAACTGTGGTGAGTGAATATATTGACGATGCTGGGTTGCAGAGAAAAACTGCTTGACTGAGTGATACGTATGAAATGATGGTAAATTTGATTTATTGACCGGTTGTGGGCAGCGTTATTGAAGTATTAGGTCAACATGTCCCATAAACCCCAAAATACCCATTCCGATTAACTATCAGTCCGTATGAAAATCCAGACGCGTGTCACGAATTTTTGTTGCAGACCGTCTGTCACCATCCGTATGTCGGCGACATGCTATCCGGCACCATCCTTGACGTGGCCACCCGCCAAGGCCCTCATCTGCAAGCGGTAGGCTAAGGCTATTAGCTTAGACTATCGGAGCTCACCTCTCTTCCGATGTGTGTGTGTGTGTTTATATTGGTGCTCACTTCTCTGCAATGCTACAAATCGGGGAGAGAGGTAAAGGAGATGCGGCAGTGGCCAGTGGCTCGGCCGTGCCTCCGATGAGTCCTATCCATTTATCTCATTCGTTATTCATTTTAATTTGGGGGCATTTTTATATTTTTACAATCAGCCCGTTTGGCAGCACGAAAATCGGCTGTTCTGGCTGATTCTGCTGAAATTTATAAAGTTCTGGCTGAAGTGGCTGCATTGGCTGATTCTGCTGATACAAGAAAAAAATATTTTTAAAATATATTTTATTAATAAAATAAAGAAAAAAATATATGTAAAATTAGCTAAAATGGTCATCTACAGTAACTTCAGCCAATACAGCCAGAAAAGTAACTCCAACCTTACTTTTTCGGCTTATTACACAATTCAGTGCGCGAAAGCAAAATTTACGTGTTTGGTAAAAAAGTTGGCTGATAAGCCTGATAAGCCGAAAATGAGGGTTGCCAAACAGCCTCAATATATCACACTTAAAACCATTTTTTATCAAACACTCTAACTTTTACATATTAATTAAATTCGCTTCTAATTTTAAAGATATGTGCCTACCTTCTTGTCTAGGGTTTTTTGGTTTATGACCGACGGCTTACGCCATTTTGTGCACGAATTTAGGGTTGTAAATGAATCAAATAATCTGTGTTCGATTCGCGATTCGAATTCGTATAAGATGATTTGAATTCGGAAAATTCAAATATAAATACAAATACAAATAAGAATATTAAGTTTGATTCGAGTTGTTATCAATAAGAATATCAGTGTATTCGATTCGAATATTAATCAAATATATTCGATTAATAATAATGGTAATATTAATATCAATATTAATAATAATAATAGTAATAGTAATAGTAATAATAGTAAATAGTAATAACACTATAATAACTTTTAAAAGATAGCAATACTCTCAAAGTGTAACCCATATAATATACTTTTGCATACAGATTCCAAACTCATTTGTAATAAATGAGAACATAAATACGAATACAAATCAATTTTTTGGTTTCAAATGTCTTTCAAATGCGATACAAATAATTATGCATTCGATTTGAGGAATAAAATTAGAGTTGTTTGACTTTGATATATACAATTATCAACTTATTTCACACATTATAAGTATAATTTCTAATGTGTGTGTTAGTGTTTATTTCAAAAAGTTTGAAATAGATTTATATTTATTAATCATAAAATTAATTCACTTTAGCATACTGTGCACCATCTAAAAATGCATTGATCCATTAAATTTAAATTCTAAAAATACATACCAAGTCATAACATGCATTTACAATATAAAAAATAGGGAGTATAAGAAAAGTTATTTTATAGTGATATTTGACTAATATTTAACATATACTCAAATCGATTCGATATTCGTATATGATTCGTTAACTATTTGTATTGTTAAACAAATACAAATACAAATCGAAATTAATATTCGTTTCATATTTGAATTCGAATTCGTATTTGAAAAATTAAACAAATACAAATACAAAATCTCATTATTCGACTCGATTCGATTCGTTTACAACCGTATGCACGATGCTAGAGTTCTGATGGGGGATGCGAGATGGTGGGATTTGATACCGGACTTTCTCATTCTCACAGTTTTCTGGCACACCAATTTTATACTCCCTCCGGTCCTAAATAAACTTCACACTTTTCATTTTTGGTAGGTCCAAAATAAACTTCACACTTCTTCTCTTTTCCTTATTTGACAAATTATTTACATCAAAACAGTGCAAAACAGTGTCAAACAGTGTCAAACAGTGCCAAACAGTATAGTGTACTCTACAGTAAAGTCAAATTTATTTCCTTAATTTGTGTGAATTGTTACCGGTAAGATGCTTGGTTTTGAGAGAACATGTCGATGAATGAGGCGGTGTTTATGGTCGTCTCTCAGGTGGGGTAGCCGTCGACAAGATCCAGCGACGATGCAAGAGGTCTCGATACTCATCCGCCACCGTTGTGATCGGTTTCGGAGACTGGGTTTACAAACATGGGATTCATGTGCTGAGTTCTGGGATTCGGAACACTTTTTTGTGCGTTGCAGGAGGACGGCTGAAGGATTTGGAGCTGCATACTGCTATTGTTTATGATGCTCGAGCTAGGGAGCGAGTAGCATATCTAAACCGGATCCTTGGGAGGCTTATGCAAAGAGAGCATGTGAGAGTTGAATCAAAGATGATGGAAGATGTTTTGGTGTCATCAATTGAGATCCTTGAGATGCTGGCTGGGAAGTGGGATGCCACAAAAACTAGCACGGATGCAAAAGCTCCAATGGACATGGCTGATCTGGAGTCAAAAGGAAGTATGAGTTATGTTTTTGTTGGTGTCACAGGCAAGGGCACGGTAAGGGAAGGAGACTCGGTGAGTAAGGAGGCCCAGGGTGACCAAAAGCCTAGAGGCTTTGGGAGGAGCAGGAACAGGTGGATTCAAGTGGGGATAGCATGACTCTTACCAAAGCAAAAAACGGGGAGGTGACGGGTCTAGAACTCCAGACCCGTCAGGATTTCTGAAGCAAACTTGTTGGTTTGGAGCATAGAAGGTCCTCGTGTTCTTGAGGACGGAGCATAAGTTTAATTTTATTGTTCTTATTGTTGTTATTTTAATTGATCAGCTTGTTTACATTTTTCGTTTTTGTAACTCTTTCATTAGGATTGGGTGATGGGAGGTCTGCTTTGATGTCTTTGGCTCATTTATGCCTATTAAATTATAGAATCAACGAATCATATTGCTTTTTTAAATGTGGTTAACTCTAAGTCTGGTTCGAGGGTTGACGGTTGGTTGTTGTCTTTTTGTTTTGTTTACTCCCTATCTGAATGACGTGATAGCAATTTAAGTCTCCTTCTTCCAAACAAAAATCATTTCCAATTTTCAAACACTACCAACTTTTACTACAAAACACTTTTTCAAAAAATCACTTTTGAAAAGTATAAGCAATTGCAAACACTCACTAAATTTTCTTCTGTTTTTTTCTCCACATATAGATTGGAAAAAGGGCAAATAAGCCCACATACTAACCAAAAATGTCAATTAAGCCCTTATATAGGAAGTTCTATCCGGCCGTTGCAATTTGGGGCAGTTCCCGGTGAAATTTTTTGATGAAATTTTTTGAGAATCTTATTTATTAAGTCTAGTTTACTCATACCAAATTTGAGCTAACAATTTAATTGGGAAGGCATTCAAATAAATTCTTGAAGATAATTGCGCTTTTAACTGCGCAGTTATCTTCAAGAATTCATTTGAATGTCTTCCCGGTTGAAGTTTTAGCTGAAATTTGGTATGAGTAAATTAGACTTAATGAATAAAATGCTAAAAAAATTGCATAAAAAATTCTACCGGGAACCGCACCAAATGATGACGGCCGGACATAGCCTCCCATATAAGGGTTTAGTTGACCTTTTTTTATTAGTATGTGGGCTTATTTACCCCTTTTTCCCATATAGATTTATTAATATGTTTTCTTATAAGATATATGCTATATATAATACTCCCTCCGTCCCATAAAATAAGTCTCATTTCAATTTGGATCGGAGTTTAAGAAAGTGGGAATGTATGGTTGTGGTTGAGTAAGAAAAATGTAAATGAATGTTAGCCACACAAAGCTTTTCAAAAAGGGAAATAGGAACAATTTTTTGGAACGGTCAAAAAAGGAAAATGTGACTTATTTTATGGGAGGAAGGAAGTTTATAAGTATATTTTTGAAAGTTCGTGGGGTTCCGAAACCCCGTGAGACACAATAAGGTGAGTCCGCCACTAGCGGTGGCAATTGGGAGCCACTCATAAATATTGAGGCAATGATGAGGATGTGAAAGATGTGCGAAGGAAATGTAGAGTAGGGTTTGGGTACTTATATTAAGGGAGTTAAAGACAATTAAAGACAATTTACTCTTAAAATGGTCAGAGTTTCGTCCAGAAGAGAGTTTAATCCTATTTTTGTCCATACAAAGTTGAGATGTAATATTGTTGTCAGTATATATTGAAAAAATGACATGTATATTACTATTGGAATTTCTCCGAACAAAAAATATGACTAGTTATGGTCAGGACCGATTATAGTGGGGAGACACCTACGCATATGTCTAAGGTCTCACTATCATATAGGGCACCAAACTTTCAGGAATAAAAACTTAGTCATTACATAATCTGTAGATAGTACTATGGGTAAAAAGAGGGAAACAGTTGCAAAAGTGCAAAACTTAATACGTAGTACGACTTACTCCTGAAAAAGCACTCTGTATATGTATGTTTCACGTGGCCAAAACCTTATGTAGCTCATTATGAATTATTGCCTTATTGGTAAACATTTTATTTTTAACGTTTTTAATATTAAAACAGCTTCACATATTTTCTTTTTAATATTTTAAATCAACTATTCTATATATAATCTACTTCTACCTCCGTCCCGTTTTAGTTGCCATTTTCGACTTCTCCAGTCAAAGATGGTAAAATTTGATTATTTATTTTAACTAATTTATTTATACAAAATCTAATAATTTTATACTTTTGTGATAATATATTTTTTGAAAAAGAATATTTTCATATCATTTTGATATTATCAATACTTCTATATATAAATCTCTAATCAGTCAAGTTATATATCATTGACTTGAAAAATCAAGTTCAGTGAACTAAAGTAGGACGGAGGGAGTATTATTACATGTGTAAATTTATCATTTTTTTAAAATTATTGCGTAAACATTATTGTCTAATATGAAAATGAAATTGGGAAAATTTTCTAAATAGGAGTAAAAACATTTGGAAAAATTGAAAATAATAATCTCAACTATTGCTGGTCCGCTAACAATAATCCCAACTATTGATTATTTTTGTATAATCCCAACTATATGGACCATCTGCCAATAATAGTCCATGACCGCATATTACATGCTCTAACAAGTGAATTTTTAATAGAAATTAAGCGTAAAAATTAAAATTTGGGATTATTTATAGGGATTACATGCTATATCTCTTTAGAAACTATATGAATTTATTTATAGTTGGTCACGTCGGACCATTATTGGCGGAAGGTCCCTAAAGTTGGGATTATTCTGAAATAATCGATAGTTGGGATTATTATAAGCGGACTGTCAATAGTTGGGATTATTACAATCAATTTTTCCAAAACATTTTGAAATTCCAAAATAGGATTGCCATGTTTTTATCCCTTAAATAGGAGTAATATTTGCCAAGTTTGGCAGGCTTTAAATATGACAGTGTTTTTCAAACTTGATAGAAATTGCTTCTATTTAGAGAATAAAAACATGAGATTTCGACCGATCCTATTTTAAAATTTTGCAATATTTTTACTCCTATTCGGGAAATTTCTAAATGTATTTTTAATTTTTGTCTAGGGCACCAACCCAACTCAAGACAACCCTGAATATGATTTTGAACAAAAATATGACCAGTCATTGTGAACTAGTCACTATAGTGCGTTTTAGAATGAGAAGTCATCGTAGATGACGAGTCACTAAATATGTCACTTTTTGTTTTTTTTTTAAAATAAGTCATATTTTTATTTTTTGAATTTAATTTAGTGATATTCATGGGAAAAGGTCTTATATATTTAAGTTGGTAGGTGTTAATAGTAATTTAGTGGTTGTGAATAAAAACATCATTTTGTTTCTTTAGTGAGGTGATTATTTTACTACATATACTCCCTCTATTTTTAAATCAAAGTCACACTTTGATTTCACACTTATTAAGGACATAAATATACTGGGGTAAATTCTATTGTAAAGTACACTGTTATGCACTATTTTGCATTGTTTTGATATATATTTGTTTGCCAAATAAGAAAGTGTGACTTTATTTTGAAACGTCCAAAAAAGGAAAGTGTGACTTTGATTTAGAAACGGAAGGAGTATAATACTTTTTATTATTTCACTGTGGGCTTAGGATGTTTCTACTTAGACTGTTTTCAGTCCCAGACCAGACTTAAACATATCAGACCAGATCAAACTTAAACAGACCAGCTGACCAGATCAGACTTGACTTCCGTAGTTCTAAAATACACAGAGACCAGACGATTACCAGACTAGACCATATTTAAACAGACCAGATCAGCCCATATTTAAACAGACCATACCAGACTTAAACAGATCAGACCAAACTCGACCAGCAAATTACAGCCCAAGTAAAAACACCCTTAGGTTATAGCCAGTTCAAGGCCAAATTCATAACTGGGCAGAACTTCACATATGCTAGCACATACTTCATTCGTTTCTTAAAACTCTATCAACTTTCCTTTTTTGATCGTTCCACTAACTTTTCCATTTTCCCTTTTAAATAAAAAATTTGTGGTTCTAACTGATTTTCTCTCCACTGCACCAATCTTAACCATGCAGTTTTTACTATATTGATCCTCGTATCGATCAAACCTGGTTAAGTTTTAAAGGACGGAGGGGGTATTAGTTTTTACTACTCAAATGTTTCATAGAAGAATTTAGAGCTATGTTGACCGAAAGTATAGGGAATACTTATCTGTTTGTTGAGTTCGTCTAATATTTATTGTTTAGTTGGTTATGATTTGTTTTTTCTTGATTCGATACAAATCTTATTAACTTATGCGGTACTCCATAATGTGATCCGGTACTCCCACCTTAGGAGCTCCCATCTCGACCCGACAGGATAGTGGGGAGGTTAGTCAGGGTGACTCGGTCAGTAGAATGACAGTAGGTCCATACACCCGTGCGCACCAGAGGCCCAGCCTTATTTCAGATTCTGTGACCTCCACCCGATCGGTGTGGGGATTCGAACCTTGATCCGTTGATTCAAATCTCCCACCACTCGACCAACTGAGCTACCCGTGCGGGTTCTGTGCCTTTTATCATCAAGTATGATGACTAATGTGGTTAATGGTTTCTTCAATCTACCTTTTCCGAGTTTCCGTGGTCTGCTACCCAAGTTGGTGATACGTGGTGGTCGGTTCCGAGTCCAACTTAGTATTACTCCTTGAGCCGATTGGTCTACATTGATTTTAATTTTGGATGCTCTCTTTATAGTACGGATGACGGAGTAATATACTACCTCCGTAACACAAAAATCTTCTCATTTTGACTTTTCACGGTCTTGTAAGTTGAACTTTGACTCTAAATATCTACATATCTATATGTATAAAATTCATAATAAATTAGCATTCAAATAATATGTTTTACAATGAGGTATATGAAATAAATTTTTAATCATAACATAATGTGAGTTTTTAATAATTAATGGTCAAATTTTATAAAGTTTGATTCAAAAGAGTCAAACTGGAAAGATTCTAGGATTACGGAGGTAGTAAGTTTTTTATAATTTAAAAACAATATATAATGACGTGTGTTGTATTTTTAATCTTGCATTACCATTGACAAATTTGACCCGCCATATAGGATCCACTTTGACCAATGATCTAGTTACTGGTCGCATTAGGTTGCACTAACCCCCGATCCAAATATCTGACTTTGTAACATTGCCCGATCTCATGTTATATATCGTTCTATTTAATTAGGGAGTGTTTGGATCTGATTCTCAAAATTGATTCTGCTCCTTCAGGGAGCAGTAGCTGGAGTGTTTGAGTGAAATTCCAGAAGCACTTCCGGTGCTCTAATTTACTCTCAGAATCAGTTTTTTTAGAAGCTGGGGGTACCAGCTTCTGAAAACTGATTCTGATTCTGATTCTGCTTTAAAAAAGAAGCAGAATTAGAATCAGTTCCAAACACCCCCTTAATTTATTCCGAACAACATACTTCATCCGTCCCGGAA